CCCCCACCCCCACCCCCGCCGGCAGCTCTGCCACCTTTTCTTCCGCTCTCCCTGGCATCTATCTATCTTGCAATTCTCCACACCTCTGAGCTTTTGTAAATGTCATTTCTTCTCTTCCTGGCTACTTCCTCTTCAACTCTCAAGATGAAGCAATGGACCAAGGTCAGTGTAAAGGCAGGTTAAAGTTTTATTGATTTACGCATCCTCAGGCCTCACGTGTGGCTGCCTTGAAGGAGCATCCAAGTGTCAGTCAACTTGCCAGCTGCCTGCCTGGCGCCACTAGGCTGTGCTGGCGTGGGGGATGGGCTCTCCTCCTCCCTCCCAAAGCACTTCAGCTCATCCCTATTTGTAGTTCTAATGCTATACTTTAAACGTTTTTCTTACTTTCTGAGGAAAGAGATGCGTCTTATCACCATACACCCAGTATTAAGTCATGGTACCTGGCATATGGATGCTTGAAAAATTAACTTCTTAATGAAATCTCTTCTGAATCTCTACAACATGGAAAGCACCGTGCTAGGCAATATTATGGGATATAAAGTAGCGGGGATGTGGGACAAGACACGAAACGTTCGCATATATGTTATAGAAGGTAATGTGAGATAACTTGATGACAATGCTAGAGAAATTTAAGAACGCTTCTGACTTTTTTACAGTAAAAGTGGTCACACACCCTCCTTCCACCTGGAAATTGACTCTTATCTGTTAACTATTTTCTTATTGGATTTAGAAGTGTCTTTCATTGTGTGGCTAGGATCTGTTTTGAAAGTACGTGGGGGCATCAATCATAAAGAAAATGATGCCCTGGTGGCAGGTGAGGGAGGGCCTCTGGGTTGCGAGTTCAGACAACATGCAAGAAGTCTGACTTGGAGTAAAAGGGATAAGGATATCCTTTTGAGAGAGCAGGGTTTAGATTCCACCCTGAATGGAAGCAGAGGGTGAGTCCTGGGAGGGGGTTGAATGAAACTGGTAACAAAAATGGGTGCTTCCCAAGTCCCTTCATGATGGCTGGGTCTTCTGTTTGTGCCCAGGACCACCAGGACTGCTGGGCACTTCCCGAGAGGAAGAGAAACAGGATACTCATGAGTGCTAGAATGTGGGACCAAGAAACCATCCAAACAAGTAAACAGGATAGACAAATGATCTTCTTTCACATGGGGAGCATTTGGTCTAAAACCTGATTTGTGTCTAGAAATTATCGGTCCCAAATTCCCATTCTTTTGTGGTATTACTATGGCATAGTTCTATTGGATAAGGATCTGGAACTTGAGTTTTGTGACTGGTGCAGGGCAATGGCCCACAATGGTTAACTGGGCTGGATATGTCTATAAAACCGAATTCTTATTCATCTATGAGCATCCTTGATTTTGCTTCTCATCCTAGGCGGCCTTAAATAATCCAAAATTGAACAACTTGATGGTTGCCAGAGGGAGGATGGGTCAGGGGAAGGGTGGAAAAAGGAAAGGGGGTTAAGAACTACAAACTCCCAGTTATGTCATAGGGATGGAATTAATGTACAGCCTAGGGAACAGAGTCAATAACATCATAATAACTATGTACGGTGACAGATGGTTACTAGGCTTACCGTGGTGATCACTTTGCAAGGTATATAAATATTGAATCACTACGTTGTATACCTGAAACTCATATAATACTGTATGTCAATTATAACTGAAAATAAATTAAGAAAAAAGAAATAATCCAAAATGGAATTTTCCAATATTTCTGTGACGTGGGGCATAGACGTGCATGCTTGTCGTGGGGATTAAACAGCAAGTTGTGACAAGCTGGGATGTGCCTCTGTCAATATATAAACCAGTCCAGACTGACATCTTTTTCCTTTTCTTCATTTTCATTATCAGAGAGGAAATGGAGGAAGAGGAGGACGGGGCATTCTGGTTGGTCTAAATGCACCAGGTCCTTCCTCTCTTTTAAACTCAGAATTCTCTTTGCATCATGCATTTGGAATTATTCATTGCTTTGTGAGGTTTCAGAAACTTTTCTGCTGCTTTTTATTGTTTAACTTTCCACGTCTGTGTCTATAGTACCCTCGGATGTTAGACCATCAGAAGAAAGAGGCTGTGTCTTTTTTTTTAAAGATTTTATTGGGGGAATTGGGGGAGGGGAACAGCCAAGTTGTTGTCCTTCAATCTTAGTTGTGGAGGGCACAGCTAGCTCAGCTCAAGGTCCCCTGTTCAATCTCAGTTGGGGGGGGGGAAGAGGGGGTAGAGCCAGCCCCCCTCCCATGCGGAAGGCAAACCGGCAACCTTGTTAGGAGCACCTGCTCTCACCAACTGAGCCATCCTGCCGCCTGTTGGCAGCTCAGCCTGGGCCCAGCTCACTGGGCCATGTGGGAATCCAACCAGCGACCCTGTTACAGCTCAGAGCTCCCGCTCTTAACCAACTGAACCACTCGGAGGGCCCCCAAAGGCTATGTCCTTTTGATGTTCGAGCCCCCTTCAGCATCCAGCCCAGTGCTTTGTACATAATGGGTGTGTTCTGTAAAGGCTTGTTCAGGAATTAAAAAATGAGTCCTTAGGAGAAAAGAAGTAAAGATGAAATATTTCTCTCACGCGTGAGAACAAATCTTTTAAAATGTATTTCAGATAGAAATCAGCTAGTCAGCGTAAATTGTGCTTCTCTGAGCTCACCAGGGGTAGGGAAGGGTTTTGGCTAAGACTGAGAAATTCATTGCTGGAGAATAATAAAGTGGGCGGGGAACTCAAGGCTCTGAACCGCGAGGAGGAGGCGGAGTCACCGAGAGTTGGAGCATTTCTGTCCAATCAAAAGGAGACGGTAGGAACAAGAGGGGGAAATATAGGGGGAGCGGGAGATCGCGAATCCTGCCCAGTTACATGAGCTCGGCCGCCGGAACAGCTGCTTTTCTCAGCTTAGGTATTTCTGCCCAGGAAGAGCGGCCCATTCCGAGGCTGGCTCCAGCAATGGCCTTTGCAAATCTACGGAAAGTGCTCATCAGTGATAGCCTGGACCCTTGCTGCCGGAAGATCCTGCAAGATGGAGGGCTGCAGGTGGTGGAGAAGCAGAACCTGACCAAAGAGGAGCTGATAGTCGAGCTGCAGGTAAGGCCAGCGGGAGACAGACACGCGCTTATGGCATCCTCCGCGGAAACAGGCTGGCCGCGCCGGGGCTGGCGCGCCCCACCCCCACCCCCGTCCCTGGTATTAGTCGGTACTGGGGCCTCCAGATTTGGGGCTGGAGGGGAGGGGGGAGAAGGAGGGAGGAACAAACGGCGGCGAGCTGCAAACTTTCCGTGCAGTTTCCAACCGCACGTTTCACGTTGACTTGCCACCCGCGAGCAGTGCCATGTGCAGGCTGCCCCACCGGGTCCTGTAGGCTGTCCGCGGGATGCCAGCGCGGCTCCCCAGAGCTTTCGCGCGCAGCGGCCCTGGCAGCGCTGCACGGGGCACCGGGGAAGGGGCGCCAAAGTGGGTTCCCTATGGGGAGCCAGGGACCCGCGATCCTCCCCGGACCAAGCTCCGGCTGGAACGGCAGAGTCTTGCCTTCCCTGGGGGGCGCTGGCACAGCCCCAGCCTGTCTCGTGGCTGCTGGAGAAGCTGCAGGGTAGGCAGCAGATCCACCCGCCTTTCGTCTGATGCAAGACTGCTGCGAGTTTTCACCGCCCCTCGGCCTCCTGGGAGCTCAGAGGAAAGGGGAGCGGGCGGGGGGCGCCCGAGATCCTGGGGCCGCCCACGAGGCCGCCGCCGCTGGGGCCCAGACTTAGCCTTCGCCCGCGGCCCCCGCTGATGGCCTTACCTTTGGCCTCATAGCTGGTCAGGAATGACCAGAGTGGACTAGAATCCGATCCCAGGCGCCCCAGGTAATTGATTTCTTAGCAAACCTTTCTCAGGAATATATCTTGGTTAGTTGTGATATAGAATTAGCGCAATCTACTTGAAATCGTTCTCTACCTTGTTTGTAAGGGTCCTGCGCTGTTTGGTGGCCTCGACCGGTCTGTGTCATTTATTTTGTGAACTCTTCAGCACCTGCACTTCTAGACTGCACCCAGCACCCCGATGTCTCTATCCCAGTCCCCAACTCCTACACCCCACAGTGTAGCTTTCTTACCAACCTCAACCAGCCTCAGCGCGAATCCACCTCCTCCACCCCTCCTCCGAGGGCCCTTTAATCAAAAAACAGAGGCAGCTGTTACTTTCGTTGTGCCGCAACCGACCGCATGGTCCTTGTCTGCCTTGGTATCTGATATCCGCTGCTGTGTTTCTCCATGGACCCTCCTCCCCCACCCCCAGCCTCACCCCTTCTCCCTTATGCCTTATCCCGGTATCTAGTTTTGTCCTGCACTCAGAGAAGTTTCGGACCGGTCCCTGCCTTCAAGACACGTGTAGGCTAGTTCGGGAGCCTGGCCAAACGGCGATTGAGACTAGTGACCAGATGACACAGTTCCCGAGTGCTAAATGAGACCATCTAGCAGCCTAGCCTCTGCCTGCTCTGCTGGGCTGCTGCAAAAGTGGAGAGAAGGGGGGTGATCAGCCTGGTCGAAGTGGGGGTTAAGGGCTCAGTACCTGATCCTAGGAGCACTGTAGACAGAAGGGAGGCAGGCGCCTCATCAGTCACCTCCTCTTTTGTATGGATGGCCTCAGTGGCCTTGGTTTGGGCTGTGGTCAAAAGGCAGTGGAGTGGCCTTCAGCCCAGCTCCTGACCCTCATCTTTACCGGAACACCAGGTTGGGAAGGGTAGCCTTCCGGTGCAGCGTTCTTATGGAAATTAGAAATCCTATACCCCTAGGAGGAGGCGGGGGCGGGGCCAGGAAGGGGGTAAGTGCGGAATTGTGAACAATGGGAGGCCTTACCCATCCTGGAGGGGGTCGTTGAAGTTGGGAAGTCGGCTGGGTGGGTGCTGGGAGGTTGGAGCTGAAACTTGGAGGCCCCTTTAATGGCGCTGAGAACTGTAAGGAGAGGAGGGGCGTTTCTTGGCTCCCGACTGCCAGGCATCGTTGAGCTATTGGGGAGCGCCCAGCCTTGTCGTGTTTGTAAAAGCACTCGCTTCAGAGTTCCGGTTAGTTCGCCTTGGCCGCCCACTGCAGGGTCCTCATTTCCGCACTGGGCCTTTTTATGCTGCGTGGAGAGGCGTCAGGGTTACTGTCCCGGCCCGCCCCCATTGCAATCATTTTAGTACTGAACCAGGCCGGGCCTCCATTCCTACTGCTTGGTATTCTGGGCAGGCACAGTTTGCTTTCTCTCACTCCCCAGAACGGCCCTTTTCAGGCTTGAAGCAAGTCACAGCTAGCCCATTTCTGACTGGGTAATGAAATCAGTTTAATGGGTCATGATTAGCATTTAAAAAAAAAAAACAAGAAATATCAGAGAGCACATAGTAAGGCGAAGTATTGTGTCATGAAATTTGTTTCATATATGTGTGTAGTTGTGGGGTGTGTGCGCGTGTGGGGGGTATGTGAGTTTAAAAATCACAATTTAATCATGCGTTTCTCACGGGGTCTTTGTTCAAACGTTTGGAAAACATCAGCTTGGAATAATAAAGCATCTTGTTTGGAACTCACAAAACTCAGACTGTGTACCCCCTCTTCTATCAGCAGGTGTCACATCTTAAATCTAATGTGCAGGAACATTTAAATCTTACCACTGGTCCATGGCTGTTAAACTTTAGCCATGTGCCACAATCAGAAATTCATTTTACATCATAACTCAGTATCCGTATACATATGTGAACACACACTAAAGTTATATGACATAATGTCCTTAGGATATGTGATGCATTCACATACAGTAATACCTTGGTTTGTGAGCATAATTCGTTCTGGAAACAAACTACTTGTATTGCAAGACATCGCTCATTTACCCAGTTAAAATGTATTAGAAATGTTTGCTCGTCTTGCAGAACACTCTCAAACCAAGTTACTCACAATACAAGGTTTTAATGTATGTTCTTCTGTTTCATTAAATAGCACAGCTGGTCAGAATCCACTAGACCACATGCTGATAATACATTTCACTTCTTGAAGCACATTTACATCTTGATCTCAGAATTTTAAGAAAGATAAAGAAAGGAATCAATTTCCATGCCAGAGTCCATCTTTTGAAAGGTCCTATTAAAATAGCAGCTTCCAGTCTGTATACTAGGATTAATTTGCAAAAGTGAAATAACCACCTACTTAAACAGGATCACACGTTGCATGTAAAACAGCGCTTACTTGCACCTTCTATAGCTGGAAAGTGTCTTTGACTTCCTCCATGATTTAAGTCAGAGGCACGAGCAACGCTAGAATCACACCCAAGGCCAAGCCTGTCCTGCTTGGGAAAGGAAGCATGTGTGAACTTGAGGAACGTGAATGCATTTCCATCGCTGAGTTAGCATAGGAACAGCCATAAAGCCAGCAGAACAGTGGCCTGCTGTTTTCCAGCTGAGGGACAGGACAAGGAGGAGGGAGTGCCAGTTCAGCCTGCTCCCACACACTGATACACAATCAGAGAGCAGTTGACAGCAGAGTGGGTGCAGTGTCCAGAGAGGCCCATCTGCCCTGGGAGTGCCATCGAGGACCTGGGGGTGCTGGAGAAAAAAGTGAGAATCCCAGAGAACTGCACAGAGGATGTTGGTGGATTTGCAGAGAGCTGTAGTTTACATAAGTAGAGAGGAGCAGGCACGCATGGAGCCAAATTTTGAAGGGATAGCAGGTGGCCTGAGGAGGAGATGGTGGGCTTTGAGGGATCAGCGGCAGATAACATCTGTTAAATGAGGGCTTTTTGAATGAGTCAGTTGACGGTGCAATTAAACGAAGCAGGAACAGTGGAAGGTGTAAGAGGCCTTGGAAGGCAGCTAAGTGAACTCAGGCCACATGCAGTGGGATGAGGGTCTGCTGGGAGGGAGATCTCCAAAGGCAGAGTGTCCTCTTGGGACAGGCAAGCTCTGGATGAATGCACATCCATACTGGTCTGACTGGAGACCCTTCAGACGTCCAGCTTCAAAGAAAGCTGGCTTGAGGGATGCCATCCTTGAGGGGAAAGTAAAGAGAGGCTGCAGGGTAAATCTCCCTGAGGGTGTTACTTCCCCTCAAGAAAAACTAAGGCTCTTTCTGAGCTTGTCCTCTGGACCTGCAAGTATGGGGTAGATTGCTGGGGAGCAGCCCACGTTCTCCCCCACAGCCACTCTGTTCTGTGGGAAACAGATCCCCAAGGTTTGGGGAATGTGGTGGCCTCTTTGGAGAGAATATTCAAGCAGGCCGGACCCCTGGGGTCCAAGGGAGTGATGGGGCAGAGTGTAGGGGGCAAGACTGTGCCTGAGATGTGGGCCCAGAACTTGATAGGAGAGAGACAAGGTGATAAGATTATGACTGGTTGGGTGGTCCCTGTGCTTTTTGAGTCAGTTGAACTTTGATCCTTGGTCCAGGGCTGACCACTTCAAAAGAGGTTTCATTTCCTCACCATGTTACCAGAACCTAAGGTGCCATTGCTGGTGGTAAAGGAATATGCCTTAAAAATGTGCTCACATGAAGCCAAATGGCCCTGCAAAAAGGTTGTGCCATTTACACTCTGATTTCCCTGCGTGGTCACCAGCACTGAGTATTATCAGTTTTTATTTTGCTGGTATGATACCCGAAAAGACCGCATTTTAAAATTCACATTTCTTTGATGTGTAGTGTTTTTATAAATTACTGGTCACTTTGTTAGTTCTTCTGTGAATTGTCTACTTATATCTTTGCACACACACACACACACGTGTGTGTGTGTGTGTGTGTATATTATTGTGTTCTTTATCATTTAAAAAATTGATTTGTAGGAAGTCTTGAACATTTTGATGATGAATCTTGTTGTTATATTTGCAAGGAATTTCTCCCAAATCAAGCCCGTCACTTGCCTTTAACTCTGTTTATGGCATCTTTTCCATACAGAACTTTAAATTTCAAATGTAATCAACTTTGTTAGTATTTTCTTTTGGTTTCTGAGATTTGTACCTTGCTCATGAAACTTTCCCATCCCAAGATCATGAAAATATCCCCTTACAGTTTCTTCTAATTAAAAAAAATATTTAATTTATGAAATTTAAAATTATTTAAATTTAAATGTATATAAACAAATCTTTAATTCATCTGGATCTTTAAAAACCTGTAGCGAGGCAGGAGTTCAATATCTTTTTCTAAGTTTTCCTAATATCATTTACTGCATAGATCTTCCTTTTCCCCATCAATTTGAATTCTACCTTTATTATTTTATAAATTCCCATACATACATGGGTCTGTTTGTCTAGTTCCTTTTTGGTTGTGTTGATGGATTTGCCAGTTTCTGAACATTTTTCTCCTGGCTCCCTCCCAACTT